TAGGTATTAGAAATACTCTTCTAACAGATCCTAAGAAACATTTTGGGTCCTACACCTTCGTAGCCATAGTCTTGGGCAAGTTATTTAACCTCTTTGAGCTTTAGACTCTTCATCTATAAAGGGAAAATAAATATAGCGTCTAATTATTAGATTGTTGTGAAGAGAAATGAAAAATGTACATAAAACGCTTAGGACAATGGAAAGCTCACATGAGTGCTCAGTAAGCGCTGCTTTGGGCCATCCTCATTTGTTCGCTATCACCACCTAGAAGTTCCACTTGCAGGTCTCTAAAACGAAAGCCTCTACCACTGATGCCTACATAGAAAGCCTAAGACAACAAGGCTTGTGTGGATAAAACACCTCTGGCGTCTGTAGCCGAAGAAGGTCACTCAAGGAAAGACAAGGCCAGGAGGAAGGAGCATCCAAAGGCGGGGGGGCGGGGGGGGGCCAGAGTGGAACGTAAATTTAACCGATTAACTTGTTCACAGCAGTTGTGATAACCAAGAGCTCCTCTTAGGAGATTGGAGACACAATGGCTGTAAAGACAACCTGTTCAATAGACGGTGCCAGAAAAGCTGGCTTGCTACATGCCACAGGTTACAACTAGACCCTATCTTTCACCATGCATCAAACTAAAATCAAAATGGGTAAAAGATCTAAATAGCAAAACAGAAACACTAAATTTGGTGGAAGACAGACTAGCTGGAACTCTTGAAGACACTGGTGTAGGTAAAGAATTTATGAAAAAAAATCCAATCACACAAAAATATCACAAGGAATCATCAACAGGGATCTTACCACATTAAAAAGTTTCTGGACAGCCAAAAAAAAAAAAAAAAAAAAAATCACCAAGTTCAGAGACAACCCACACAGTGGGGAAACTTGCCAGCTCTCCCTCAGACAAAGAACTACTAGATAGAATACATGAAAAACTTAAGAAAAAAGAAAAATCAGACCTCTCCAAGTTTAAAGACCCAATTCAGAAATGGGCATCTGAAATAAAGGGACACTACTCAGAGTAGTAGAAAAGTCCAATAAATACATGAAAAAATATTCAGCATCACTGGTCATTCACGAGATGCAAATTAAAACAGCACTGAGCTGCTTTCTCACTCTGGAAAGAATGGCTATTATCAAAACTCAAACAATAATAAGTGCTGTCAGGGGTGTAGAGGAAAAGGAACCTTCCCCCTCCACTGCTGGGGGGAATGCAGACTGGTGCAACCACTGCAGAAATGTGGGTGGCAATTCTTCAAAAAACTAAAATCAGAGGTCCCATGGGACCTAGCTACTCCTCTTTTTGGTATGTTCCCAAAAAATATGTACACACTCATATTTATAGCGGCACAGTTGGTGAAAGATAAATCTTGGAAATAGTTGGTTGCTAAATCTAGGAAATAGCCAAAATGGCTATCAATCAATGAATGGTTAAGATGATGTGGGGTATTTTTAATACAAAGGAGTATTACTCTACCTGAAAGGATAATCTTGAGACATTTCTAACTAAACAGATGCACCTTGAGACCATACTCTTTAAGTGAAATACATTGAACACACGTTTAAATTTTGCAGTTTCTCTAGTGTGAGGCCAAGTATAAATAAGCACCAAAATGTATAATAGATGTGAAATGAGAAGAAAATATTCAAATGTGAAGAACAACTAGGGCACAGGGAGGAAAAATGAAGAAAGGGAAAACGAAAAAAGAACAGAACGAAAAATGGAAACAAAGCTTTTGTAAATAAGAAGGGAAAGGGCTGGCCAAATAGCTCAGTGGATTAAAGCACCAAGGTTAGATCCCTGGGCCTGCCCAAGGGGTACGCTCAGATGGCAACTGAGACTGGGCCTGGTGGTGTGCGCCTGTAATCCCAGCTCTTGGGAGGCTGTACACAGGCGGATCACTATGAGTCCGATCTAGTAGTGAGACCCTGAACACTCTGCAGACCCTTCCCTAAAATACAGGGAAAAAAATGAAATAAAATAAGAAGGAGAAAAGGGGTGAAGGGGAGGGGAATGGGGGGAAAAATGATATACCATGTACAGGCACAAATCCCCTGTGATGAATGTTATCATTATGTATATCTAAAATTACCAATATATTTTTAAATGCAAAAGAAAACAAACACGTCTGTTAACTACTAAAGGTCTACAGAGAGGACAAGTCCCGGGCCCAGTGACACACACAGTAACCGAATTTTCACTTACAATGACAATACAGCGTTAAAATTCTCTGCCAAAAGGAGATTGCTAAACGACCTGGTGACAAAGGTTGCCACACCACCATACCACCCTAACAAGATGCACACCAATGTGGGTGGGCACGCACACATGCACATACACGCGTGCATGGACACATCCACACACATCACAATGGACACATAATCAGACACCTGGGCAAGAAAAGATTATTAGATTTTTAAAAAAATAATCGATCCAATCAAAAAAGTAAACTATTCATTTAAAAACGTATTTTTATACTAGTTTTTGGATTAATATGACAACTTTAATTGACTTTTTTTTTGGGGGGGGAAGGTCTACAGGGTGTTCAGGGTCTCACTACTAGATCGGACTCTAGTGATCTGCCTGTTTACAGCCGCCCAAGAGCTGGATTACAGGCATGCGCTACCACACCCAGTTTCAATTGCCATCTCAGTGCGTCAGTCCCAAGGGCTGCGGGGGAAGGAAAGCAGGTGCAGGGATCAAACCCCAGGCGCTTTGATCCACTGAGCTACTTGGCCGGCCCTCTGCTGACATAGTCTTAAAACTACTAAAAAGGGGCTGAGGAGATGGCTCAGTAGAATAAACACTTGCCTGACAAGCACAAGGGCCTGAGTTCAATCCCCAGTTCCACCAACAAAAAAAAGTTAGTCTGCTTTGTTTTGCTGTTTATTTATATTTTCGGGTGGCACTGGGGCTTGTACCTAGGCCCCAGTGCAAGCTAAGCAAGTGCTCTACCACTTAGCTACATCCCAGCCCTAAAGAAATAGTTTTAACACATAAGCTCCTCAGCTCCTCAAGGACAGGAAAAAGAGGGCAGACAACAAAAAAACTCTGGCAGTCGGCAAGGCAGTGGGGCAAGTGACCACTGCCACAGCAAAGAGCCAAGAACCGCAATCCAAATGCAAAGAAGCTGCGAACCAATGTGCACATCTCCAATTCCTCAAAAGACACTGTGTGGGAGGCAAGGCGCCAAAAGAGAAAAGTGCCCAGGAGGCGTTTAAGGAGCAGATCCCGGGGGCTGAGATGCCCCGGCTCAGGTGTAAATCATTCAGAAAACAGAGGCTTTCAGTGACACAGGAAATGCTGTGTGCAGGATAGAAGCAGCCACTCCCAGCACTTACCTAGAGCAGAGCCAGTGACAACTGGGGAAGGCTCCGCTCAGCCCGCCAGCCAGCTCTGAAGGAAAAGCTAAAGACACAGCCTCCGAGGACTGCCTGGTAAAAGACACCCACCGTCACTCGCCACTCAGCGGATGCGGCTGCCAACAAGGCCCACCCACTCACTGATCTTCTGCAGGCCGTGTGGGTCCCCAAGGATCCATCTGAAGCCCGCAGAGAGACACCAAACCAAACAGCAAGGAGCAATTTACAAGGAACAGACCACACAACAAAGGGGGGGCCAATGAAGAGCCTCATGGATGAAATAGTATAGCCATGAAACAAAATTAGGATGTTAAAGTATCTTTCTTTTTGGTTGTGCTGGGGATCAAACTCAGGTCATTGTGCATATAAGACAAAAACTCTACCCCTGAGCCACATCTCCAGTTAAGGTTTTCTTTTTAAGAGGATTTTAAGAACAAAAGAGCTCTTAGAAAATAAAAACATAGAAAATTATGGTAGCAAAAGCACAAAACCTAAATATATTCTAGGGTTGGGAGGCTGAGATAAGGAAATCTAGAAAAATTAAGCAGCCCATAGCCCAAACAGGAAAAAAGACCAAGTGGAGAACTGCAGAGAAAAGATAAGAAAATGAGAAGACTGAAACAGGAAGTCCAACGTCCAATAAACTACTACTCCAGACAAATACAGAACGGAAAAGGAGGGGAGGAAGGCCTAAGGAGTTCTCACAAACAAGCAGAGCAGGTAGAAAATGCCCACCGCATGCCAACAACGCAAGCGGGCCCATGCAGCCGGCACAGGTGCGCAGCCGTGGACACGACAGACCCCGAGGCCTGCACCTGAGCACAAACCACTCCCACACACAGAATCAGGAAGCTGCTCCCCAGCCACCCCCCGCCTCCACATCTGTTTCACCCCATCACAGATTTCCTCACCTCACCTAATTCTAAGGTCTGAAAGGAAACCTGGAGGATTTTCTTTTATTTTTTTTCTTTTTTTTTTTTTTGGCGGAACCGGGGATTGAACTCAGGCCCTTGAGCTTGCCAGGCAAGCACTTATCCTACTGGGCTATCTCCCCAGCCCCAAGAGGATTTTAGAAAATACAAAGCAACCCACTCCCTCCACCAGGCTCGTCCATGGTGTCCGTACCGCATTTTAACCCTGCCCGATGCCCTGACTAAGGCAAGGCTAGCAGCTTCCTGACTGTCTAGTGATGCCTCAGAAAGGTCTGAAGAACACTTCAGCCGGACTCTGGTCCTGAACCTCCCGCTACGTGCGAGACACAGCCAACCTCAGGGCAATGGGCTCTGCTTACGAGGGGCTTTGCTCTAGCTGTCTTGTTCCATATTCAGATATGATAAAAGGAAAAAGAAGATGCAAACAAATCCCAGCACCAAGACTGCAGCGCAAATTACCTTACCGGGCTACAGAGGAATGTGGTCAAGAAAGAGGCCACGTCCCCAGGAACGTGCGTGGCGGAGTGCATTCCGCGTCTCTCACACGCTCACCTCCATATTCCTTCAAGTTTGAAACCATTTAACTACAACTCATTATTAAATTACAAAAATTTACACTACATCAGCACTATGCCTTTCCTGGATCAGTGAAGAAGAAAAATGGTTTAATTTTAAGTACATGCAAAAATTAAAATCAGATTTCCTTACATTATGAGTCTTCGGTTTAAAAACCAGTATTTCCGCCGACTCCTATCATATCCAATAGGCTCGTGCCGAATGTACGGTTTGTTTTTTTGGATCTCAGCAACACAGTCCGTCACTCCAGGCACCTTGTGTGCGACACAGACTTCACACTGCCACTCGTCCTCGGGCACCTCCTCAAGAGGTGGCTTCACACATTCCAAATGGTACACGGCTGAGCACGTCTCACAGCAAAGCAAGTCCCCAAGTTTGTGGCAAACCCTGCAGTGGTCGTCATACTGGATCACCCCTTCCGACATCAACTCCTCCCGGGCAATGTTTGTCGTGAGAAACTGATCGACCAAGAACTGCAGGACTTTGATCTTGTTCTCCACCGGCCCATAGGGGTAGTCCTCAGCTTCCTGGTAAGGAAGCACGTGGTGGTACTCCTTGTCACTCTCGCAGTACACACGCAGCACCTCGGGCCACGTCATCCCGTCTATGAGATACAGCGTGGAGTTGACGCTGTCCTTCAGGTCGGCAGGCCCGAAGGTGGTGTTGGAGGTGTCCTCCTCGCGCAGCACGGCTTTCAGAAGTGCGACGTGCATCTCCGCCAGGAGCGTGCACTGCTCTTGGCTCACGAGAGCTGCACAGAAGTCCTCGAAGCGGAAAGGGGACAGTCTCAAAACCGTGCCAAAGTTCCGCAGTACCTCATAAATGGCAATAACATTCATTACATGCTCACTAGGCACCATTAAATCCTCAGAGGACTTGGGGAATTCAAGGGGTGGGATGTCTTTTTCTTCTAATATTGGAGAACGAGGCCGATGTACTCTGGGTTTTCGCCTACCTGTAAGTAAAGAAATGACAGTATCACAAATCAATACATTGCATCGCTTCTACAAACTTGGGGTTCTGCAGTTCTTGCTCTCAAAAACTAGACAGGCACACTTTTATTACTCTAATGATTTCCAAATTAAAACAATACTAAGAATATGGGTTGGGAGTACTGCTCAGTGGCAAAATGCTTGTTATTATGCAAGACCCTGCTACCACAAAAAAACACCAAATCAGGGTATTTGTGAAAGATCAGACAAGTACATATGAGGAAAAACCCTCCATATCCGATGACCACACGGGAGCAACAGGTATCCCACGGCCTCGCTGCACTACACACACACCCATGAATCTGACAGGACCTTCCTTTACTTCCTGGAGGTCCACAGTGAAACCCAAGCTCAGAGAAGAGGAAAGAGAAAAACCAAAACAGAAACCAAGCAGGAGCCAAGTGTGGCGTGTGGGGCGTGGCTGGCGCACACCGGCTATACTGCATCTTATTTCATCTTCTGAGTAAGTCTCTGTGAGGTATTATAATCAGACCTGCTTTATAAGTAGGAAAAACAGCTGGGTGTGGCCCATGTGCCTGTAACCCCAGCACTCAGCAGGCTGAGGTAGGAGGGTAGCCTGAGTTTGAGACCAGCCTGGGTTGCAAAGTGAGCTCAAGGCCAGCCTGAACTGCAGTGCGAGACCCTGTGTCAAAAGGACAGAAATAAAATAAAAGCTATTCCTAAACGACCTGGCAAGTGCAAAGTCCCAAGTTCAGTCCCCAGTACCCCCAAAAAATAAAGAAAAGAAACATCTGTAGTAAAACACAGTACACATTCTGTGAAATTCCAGAAATTACCTTCATCTATGATGTTTGGGAGAAATTCAGAAACTCAAGCAGCTCTTACCCTATAAATCAGGCTTGCAGTTTCTCAAAATCTCTGGCTGATTTGTGCACACACTCAAGTTTGAGAAGCTGCCTTGAAACAAGCCTTCCTAAGGCTGGTGGAGGCGCAGCGAAAGCATCTGCTCAGCGTCCTCAAGCGCAGCACAAATGTACAGACCCGCAGAAGCTTAGCAGTCTGTACTGTTCTTATTCTCCACAGATAACTCTAATATGTAGCCACACTTGAAAACTACTGCTTTACAGAAACTGCACATTCCCCATACCACGCAGTAAACAGGGTTTTCATGCAAACTCAAGCCAGGGAAGTCAAAGGTTGCTTCCAGAGGCAGGATTATAGTAAGACTAATATAAAGACTTAAAAGTGGAAGCTTAAGCAAAGACAGTAAGAAGCCTACAAAAAGAAAAGAGAATGTGGTCTGCATAAAGAGACAGCAATCTGTCCATGAACTACCAGCAGTCCTGGTTCGAATGAACTTTAGGCCGCTCACTCCAGTTCACCTAACGAGTTACTAGCTATGCTGCTGTCAGATACTTCAGTTATGGCAGGGCTCCCGGCCACCTAATCAGTTATGAGCTACGCTGCTGCTCGGTGCAGACACTCAGATGGCCCCGCAACTGTTGGCAAAGCTTCCTGTGGTTCCTTCCATCTCACAAGAGTCTCACAGCTGGGTGCTCTTCTGCAACACGGGGCAGCTGGTCAGCAAACTCCGCGTGCGCTCACTGCTGCAGCCTGTTTTCTACATGCCTGAATTTTAAAAATATGCAGTGCGGTCACAAACTGTAGTATTGGTCCAATTTCTCCCTTTTCAATATAAAAAACTTACCTATACAATTTATACAGATACTGCCCAACTGCGCTGAACTTTTTAAGGATCCGAGACCTCTTCAAGGCCTTGCTAGAATGTCGCCTCCGGGGCTGCACTGCACCTCCTGCACAGGGCTGGCTCCCTGCGCTGCACAGCCCTCCACTCTGGCACCAACACATTTAGAGAACAACTGCTGGCCCCTGGCTTGCCTCAAAGTACGGAGCATGACTTCTCTGCTGTTGTAACTAAAAATACTCAACTAAAGACACCAAAAACCAAAAGTGAACACCTGCTGAGATTAAAATTTAGAAGCCGCTGCTAATTGTTCAGAGTGAACACCGAAGTTCACATCTCACTAATTCTAAAAGGAGTATTTACAGAGCGTTTTGAGGCTCTCATTTCAGAAGACAACTTTCAATGCAACGCACATCTGTAAACTACTTTGGCCAGCACACACATCCAGTCACGATGTTCGCGCACATCACGGGCGGTGCGTTCTGGTTGCTTCTTCTTTCCCTCCTCTCTACTCCTTCCACATTGTGCTTCTTAAGGAGGAAAAAACCTAATACGCTCCCCTCCTGGTAATGTACACCCAGGGTTGGTGCAGCACTGAGGGTTGCCCATTTCCAGCAAAAGCTAATGCTCTAGATCTGACAAATGTAATTCATTAATCTACTGTAGCAGATATACAAGCCATAAATGAGAACAAAAATAATCTATTACTACGTTGTTATTTTTAAAAATTATAAAATGATTTTGCCAAAAGTATCAAGGAATCACCCTTTGATCTGAAATGAATCTACCCCAATCCACGGCATATGGTAACCCTCAGAAGGCTTTGTTCTTCAAATACAGCCCATTTGTCCCCATCCCTATGCGCTGATACCAGGAATAACAAGCAGCAGCTGGCTCCCAGAGCACTTTCTCCCTGGTAGGAGCCGGTTGGGCACTCTGAAAGCGTTATCTCACTTCAGCCTCAGACTGGCTCCAGAAGGAGGTGCTACTGCTATCGCCACGCACGGATGCACACAGAAACCAATGCCTCACCCCATCCCAGCTGGCACCACGGTTACCGCGGAAACCTAAGCCCACCTAGCTCCTAGGTTACTCCCTCAGTGCAACACCACCTGAGCAGATGTCTCAGTGAATGAACGGTCGAGAAACAACATTCACCTTCTGTGCAGGTGAGAGGAACAACAGATAAAGCAGGTCGGTGCCACGGCTACAAACTGAGACCTACCCTAAATTTCAGCCAGAACTGCAATGCAAAACTTAATGCATTGGCTAGTGGCTGGACACACACACCACAATTCTATCTTCACAAAAAGTTCTGGACAGTGACGCTCTGGCGAACGATATACACAGCTCGCTGCGGCACACATGCCACGAGCGCCCACACTAGTCTAGAAGATCCATCGAGGCAGCAACGCACAATGACAGAAGTGCAAAGCATCCACTGCCTGAGTGACAAGCACCTAAAATACAGTTGGTACCCTATCTCTTTAAAACTGTGGTAGGAGCCTGGGATACAGCTCGGTGGCACAACACGTACCAGGCAAGCACAGGGTCCTGAGTTCGGTTCCCAGCACCAGAAAGTGAAGACATTAAGCATCCAATTTAAGAAGTCATACATATATATATATACATATATATATAATATGTGTGTTTATATACATATACACATATATATACACATACACACACAAATCAGTGTGAGCAATGTGTCCTTTAAAAAAAAGCTCGGGCTGGTGAGATGGCTCAGTGGTCTAAAGCACCTACTTAGACCAAGCTAAGCTAAGCAAAGCACAGGGACCGCGGTTCAATCCCCCAGCACCACATGCCAGCCAGCCCCATCCCCTGGTGGGCTGAGCTGGCCACACACACACACACACCAAAAATAAATAAATAAATAATTAAAAAAAAAAACTCAATTATTATTTCTAGAAATAATCCCAGTGTTCATCAGTAAAAATGTGTAAGCATATGGAATATCATACAGGTTTTAAAAACACTTAAGTGCAGCCAGGTGTGGAGGCACATCTGGAGCCCAGCACTCTGGAGGCTGGTGCAGGACTACAAATTCAGGCCCAGACTGTGTGACTGTTGACACCCTGCCTCAAAAATCAAAAATTTTTAAAAGGGCAAGGAACATGGCTCAGCGTGAAGGCCCTGGGATCAACCCCTAGAATGATAAAACTAACTGCTAAATTATTAAATGAACTAGATCTATTAAGATGAATAATTACAATGGAAAGGTTACTCAGGATTGACCCAGGACCTGCCCATGGTGCTATATCCACGCCCTTTTGGAATTCTCTTTTTAATTTCAAATTTGAGGTAGGGATTTTGTTTGTTTGCTTTCTTGTTGTCTTGAGACAGATTTCACTATGTAGTTCAGGCTGGGCTTGAACTCACCAGGTAGCCAAGCTGGCCTGGAACTCATGGAAATGTGCCCGCCTCAGCCTCTGGGCACCGTAATGATTACAGGTGTGTGTCAGTATGCCCAGCTAACAATTTTTTAATCTTTTATTTGGTACAGTGTCTCGCTATGCAGCTCATATTCGTACTGACCCTCCTGACACAGCCTCCCCAGTGCTGGGATTATGACTGAGAGCCACCACGCCCGGTTTCAGTGGCTGCCAGCTCTTTGCAGGGCCAGCATGGTATGCGGTACTGGGATCAAACTCAGGTCCCTGCACTTGCCAGGCAGGTACTTAGACTGCCAACCTATCTCCCCAGCCTCCAGCCAACAATTTTTAAAAGATGGAAAAAGGCAAATTAAACAAAAGCCAGCAGACCATCTATGTAAACTTTAAAATCAAAACCACATCTGCATATAAACACATATACTACAAGTATAAAAATATGAAATTCATTTAAAAAATTATAAATAAAAAATATGAAAATGGTATCCACCAACTTCCCCCACCCCCCGGAACTGGGGACTGCTTTTTTTTGTTTGTTTTTTGTTTTTTATTTTTGGCGGAACCAGGGATTGAACTCAGGCCCTTGCAAGTTCTACTGAACCATCTCCCTGGCCCCTGAACTAGGGACTGAACTCAGTCCCTTGTGCTTGCCAGGGAAGCGCTTATTTTACTGAGCCATCTCCCTGACCACATCCACCAACTTTATAAGAATGTTTACGTCGAAGAAGCAGAGAAAAAGGAGAGATGTTAAAATAAATCTGTAACAACCATCTTTATCTTAGAAAAGAGAAATTTCAAGTAAATATGATAAAATTTCTACATTTATTAAATCTGGGTAATGGGTAGTATGTGTAATATATTATTTTTAAGTTCTCCTGAT